ACGGTCATCACTCTCTCCCTTCAAGATATTGTGAATTTGCATCGAGCCACTCTGTATAAGTTTAAGAATTGATTTTTGTAAAGAGGTAATAAATATTTACCGAGGTAATTAAACTCTAGCTTAAAGAAAAGGGGGAAAAAAGGTGAAGAAGTGAAGAAGAAGAAGAAGAAGAAGAAGAAGAAGAAGAGGTGGAAAAAAAGACACGTGAGAAGCGAGAGGGAAAGGAAGAAAGAAGAAGAGGAAGATGAAGAAGAAGAATTTGAAGAATGAAAAAAAAAAAAAAAAAAAAAAAAAAAAAAAAAAAAAAAAGAGAGAAAAGAAAAACTTGATATCGTAAAATCGATGATAAGATTGCGAGAGCCCGATTGTACGTGCAATACGACGATTATTACACTCGTGTACTACTTACACGCCTACACACAGCGCTGTATTAGTTTTCGATCTTACTTGACGCGTTCGACGACGACGAGAAAAGCGTTGCTTGAAATCAAAGTTCTCTGCTCGGTATCGCGGCGTTTTATACACACACACATATATATATATATATATATTGTTTTGTATGTGACGTGTTGTACGCATCAGCTGAATCTCGCGATTAAGATGCCGAGTTTTGCGCTCGATCGGTTGCTCCGACGCTGGACACGGCTGAATCAGCGCGTCGAGATTCGACGAAAGCTGACGTTTTCGCAATAACCACCGGGGGAAAGGGAGGGGCAAAAGAAAAATACACGCAATCGATACGCAATCCGAATCCGAGGTAACACGATGGACATTTTCCAATTCGCTTTCAGAGATCGTAGGATCGGAAACTACACAAATATCTTCTGCTATAGAACGTTTTCTCTGCGACCGTTCTTCGACGAGTAGAAAAAAAAAAGAGTTACTAAACCCGGAGGATTGAAACCCGAAACTCCCCCCGTCTCCCACTTTCTCTCCATCACACACACACAAACGGATATTTCTCCTCGCCGCTCACAAATTTTATCGCATTAATACACTCCGTGAAAGAAAAAAAGAAAAGAAGAAAAAGAAAAAAAAAAAGAACGTATTGTGTTTGTGGATATATGTAATTTTACTTATCAATAAATAAATTACAAAGGTAAATTCACCGTTTGGTTTCGTTCCGTTTTCGGCGTTGCCCTTGGACGCGATAGTAACGTAATAACGCGGTATTTACTATTGCAGCTTTATCTGCGATTGATAATTTTTCAGAACTACTCGCGAGGTATCACTTGAACGACGATACCCGTCGGCTTTATCGTATGCAGCGAAGTACAACTTTTTAATGACTTTTAAGTGAAAATCGATAGCAGTTAACGCTATCATTCGCTGACACGCGATGATGAATTACAGTCTGAAGGCGGAAAGAAAAGAGAAGAAAAAAAATAAAATAAAATAAAATGCCCACGAAAATCAGTTGTTCCACATATCGCTTTATGATTAATTCATCTGACGTGGCTGGCTGTGCCTAACACGTAATAGTCGTGACCATTGAATTGTAATTTCAGTTCTTTCGCCATCGTCATCGATATTAAGGGCGCCTTGATTTCGTTTCTTTACCAGAGAAGGTGTACGTACGCCTTGGTAAGTATATTTATCGATAATACAGAATTACTCGCCCGTTAACGTCGATATGCATGTACTTCTTCGTCGGCACACATTATCAAGGTGATTATCGTTCACGAAATGAGAGTTCCGATAAGCTGCGCCAATTACACAGGTCGTTAAACCATGCTGCACATATTAAATTCAATTCTCTGCCACCGCAGTTGATCAGTTGAAAGTCGTCGCTTTTGTAAATTTTCAGATTTGCTTTTGACTTGCATTCAAATTCGATAGTGACAATTGTTTCATTTCAAACTTTATTCAAGTCCATCCTAATCGTGTTATTTATTTATTTTCAAGTCGAGGATTTAAACAAAAGATATATGTAACAATTACGGAATTACATTTCATAATGTAAAAACTTCATGTGAACATTCAAGTAGATATTTCTATCATTAATTTCATTGGTAGATATTCAGTTTACAATATCGCGCCGCGTGCAGTTCATTGTTCAAACGCGTGTATGTCAATTTATACGTAGCGCACGAGAGAACGCTATCGATCGGAAAAACAATATGGCGGTCACGATAGAGATCTTGGAAATGTCAAATTCAAAATAGACGCCACTATCGGGAGAGTAGAGTGCGATGTGTACGAAAGGTTGAACGCATGTCAACATAATGCAGTGCAAGTCGAAAGTCCGAAAGTGAGGTGACCTGAGTATCTCTTAAATCCTAAATTTCGATAACCTAATGCGAGTTGACATCATGAACTTCAAAGGTATTAATTTTCATTGCCAACTGTTATCTTCTGGACGATCTTTTTTCTCTTTTATCGCATTTTGAAACACAGCACCACACTGGTATCAAGTGTATTTACAAGAACATGCAATTTTTTTTTTTCTTTTTCAGCAAATGTGTGGAGAATGATATATGTAAATGTCAATGTTACAGATTCCACAATCATTGTCGCAAAGTGATCGATTGAAAATTTCTTGCTAAATGACTAAACAAGGGACAGCTCAGATGTCACTCGATGATGACTTCGACAGACCATTCGAAGATGTTGAGCCCTTACAGTGGGGAGCGTTACGCGAGCTGTGCAATGCCAGCTCAGAATACTTTGCCTCTCACCAAGATGAGAACAGTATTAGAATTAGAGCTGCGCTTACAGCTATACTGGATCATTTGGTACAGTTGCAACCACTGTATAAAGAAATTAGCAGAATCGCGCCAATGTTCGATCTGGATGCACAAACGCCCGGTAATGGGTACAGAAGTTTCTTGGTGCTGATAGACAAATGCATTATTCATTCTCGTTTGATCTGTCACCAGATATATTGTCAAAAGGACTCTATATTTTTTCGTAAAAGTTATTACATGAGGTAGCTGGCATTTGCTTGTACGAACGATTGAACGATTTCTTTTCAAAATTGTATGAACGAGTACATAATATTTGTAGGGAAGTTGAGGCATGTTCACAATTACTGGCATCTCTGTGCACTTGCTTGGAACATTTACAGACTCTTTATTCTTGGAGTGAGCACCTAAGCGATGGAAAACCGTCTCTCTTTATAGGAGATAATCACAATCCACACGAAATTTTAAACAAAGTAGATAGTATCAATCAATATTGTTTTTATGGCAGATGTTTAGGATTCCAGGTACTGATAATGATATTTATATGTGGCTGAAGTAATTGTAGTATTTGTTGATTTGTTTCCTGGCAAAGTGTATTGTTTCCAGTTTCACGATAGCTTAAAGCCCATTCTAAAAACCATAATGGTTTGTATGGCAACATTCAGCGAAGCATTTTATGCCAATGGCACGTTATTAGCGAGATGTGCTAATTCTGTCAAGTACATGTTAGATCCTGAAGTAAGGGCGCGTCGTATTGTCGACGTATCCCAACGCGCCGATATCTCATTTTGTCAAGCATTTTGGTTTCTTAACGAGGCTGGTAATAATATGATATAGTAATATATACATATATGTGTAATTTACATTTTAAATGTAATAACTGTTTCACTACATATTTGTATCTTCATTGTTTTAAAACGTATTATATATACACGTGTAAACTATGTTTTAGATCTTGCACGCAGGTTGCCTGCCATAACAGCTCCTTCTTTGGCAATAAATCAAATAATTTCTATTCCACCTGAAGAGTTGACACTTCTTACATTAAGTGGATCAACCGTGTCGATTCCAATACCGAGTAGTCACGTTGGAAAGAAGCCAATACACGTTAGACTGTTCAGTTCTAAACGTCGTTTGGGGATGGTAAAGAGATAATCTAATTTTCTTTTAAACATCTGATACAAGCAGTATTTTTAGTTGTCGTTCTTGTCCTTAAATTCTCTTCAATTGAGTAAAAATTATTGCGAAACATCGGTTTCACTTCTGTGCAGTACATGCTTTTCTCAGGTCGGTTCGGGTGGAGTGGCAGGCGAATTGCATGGATTGTCCAATGAATTAATAATTCATTGTCATGGTGGAGGTTTCGTAGCACAAACTTCATTATCTCATGAAACATACTTACGCGATTGGGCCATCAATCTTGGTATACCCATTTTAAGTATAGATTACAGTTTAGCGCCAGAAGCTCCGTTTCCTCGTGCACTCGAGGAAGTGCTATATGCGTATGCATGGTCTTTAAATCATGCAAGTACATTGCTTGGGAGTACAGCTCAAAAAATAGTTTTTGCTGGTAAGATACAAAGCATTTGCAAGCTTTTTAACACGAGCTTTTTTTAACATAATTTTTAACGCGTATCCTGTTGCGTATATAATATTTAAAAACACTGTGTATAAAACTTTTATGCAGGTGATTCCGCCGGGGCCAACTTGAATTTGGGAGTTACTTTAAAGTGTTTGCAGTTGAACATCAGAAAGCCTGATGGAATATTTATGGCGTACACACCAGTGCTTGTCGACTTTGTATTGTCACCGTCGCGATTACTTTGCCTTACAGACCCGTTATTACCTATGGGATTTCTTTTACGTTGCCTAAAAGCATACGCCGCTGAATGTTCAAAATCAGAGTCGGAATCTTTCGCCGAGGTGAGCGAAAGCGATCTAATAGCGTTAGCTCTCAGTCCTAATGGAGATGAAACGAACGACGCGCACAAGTTAGCGTCCTTGCCATCTGATTCTACTTTGAATTCTGTCACTTTGACAGAAGTTGACGGTAAATAAATGCATGACATAAATATAAAAAAGTTAAATATAAAAAAGATATTTCTTTAAGAAAATAGTTTAAGTATGCGATAATTTTCATTTCACCTCATTGTTTTTATTATAATTGGTTTTACATTTAGATACTTTCTGAACATTCTCTCTAACGTAACAGGGACGGAACATCTACAGGATGAAGCGAAATCTCAAGAATACGTTAACAAATTTTTTGATCTTTACCGAAACTGTGGTAAAACAAACGCTTCGACGCACGTTGGGAATGGCACTATTAATACAGGGAATAATGTATCGAAGAATGATAAATCCTGGTCCTTCTTCGGATGGTCTCTTAGTGGAAGGCATAGAGAATCCAGGGAACTGGATATAGAGAATGTGAAGAGCCCTATGGAGGAATTTATATTCACAGTGCCCAGAGATCCATATTTAAGTCCTTATCTTGCAGCAGATCATCTTCTAGCACAATTACCACCCGTCAAGATGCTGGTAAATTTTTAAATGTCAAGTTTTACATGCAATATAACATACAGAAAAAAAATTACTTATATATAAATATTTTATAGACGTTAGAGTTGGACCCATGCCTTGATGACTCTGTCATGTTCGCAAGGAAACTTCGGTCGCTTGGTGTATTAGTCACGCTTGACATATTGCCAGGGTTACCTCATGGGTTTCTTAACTTAACACCAGTAAATACTTGCCTCGTTAAATAAATCAATATTAAATTGTGCCGTGTTACATCAAGTTATTTAAATTTACAGGTTTCGAAAGAGGCAAGCGAAGGATCAGATCTATGCGTGAAAAGATTGCAAGAATTGCTGGCATCATAAGCATGTGCATATAGGAAATACTCATTAAAATATAAATGTTTATACGCGGGAACAAAAGTTTCTTTGCTGTTTTTTTTTTTTTTTTTTTTTTTAGATGTCAATTTAATCGATTTTTTTATGTACAAATGATTTGAAATATTTCGAAAGCTTTATCCACTGGTACGTAAATGTATTAAATGTGTTTCCATCTGTATATTTTGTATTGTATATTTATATTTTATTAATGGTGACCATAGTATTCAATGTCTAATTTAAAATCAAATACTCTCAACTTATTGTACTTAAACGGTAATATCTTTGTATTACGTTTACTGAATGTGTAATTGGAGGAAAAGCAAAGTAGCTTTCCATTTTCTACTGAGAACATGTTTAAAGAATAAGACTATAGACATATTGGTTGTATAAAATATTTGGGATTATTTCAGTTCTCAATGTTATAATATTTTATGCAGCTGACACAAGTTACTAAATGTATTAGGCATAAATAAAGTATTATAAATGTGATACAAGTTTAATGACATGATAAAAAAAGAGGCAATGAATATGTATAGTATTGGCTATAACTGGAAAATTATGAACTTTTTGTTATATATATTAATAATTTATGGAATTGTTAAGTTATATTTTTTACGGCAATGTACATCGTATTTGTCAACTTTATTAAATTATTTATAAAACTCTAATTTTATAACTTATAACACACTGGGAAGTACAATAAAAATAATTTTATTACCAGACTATGAGAACATGTAGTTTTGGAGATGCGATAAATTATTAATTAACGATTTTTTTATTGATTATTTTGTTGATTATTCGTTTGATTTGTTTTAGGACGTAAAGTTTTTTGTAATACATGAGCATCTGCAGGTTCTATTCGCTTGTAATAATGTTCCTTTGTTTCTACTATTTCAAATCCAAATTTTTTATAAAAGTCAATGGCTCCTTCGTTACTTATCTGAACGTGACTATGAACAAAAAACGAATAACACAACAGCAATTATATATTAATATTTGTAAACAGCATTTAATATGTTTAATAAATTTCATTTAATACTTACAGAAAGATCGAGTCAAAGTTTCCATCCTTGTAAACATAATTCAGAACATGTTGTACCATTACAGTACCTATTCCTAATCTTCTATAGGGATACAGACATCCCAGTGTCATAATATATAAACGTCTAGAATTTTCAGAGGTATCTACACGACAACAAACTGCACCGACCTGAAATAAACAAATATTGCTATTCATAAAGTCAATTGTAATTTTCACTTAAAATTCATATGTTTATAAGTAAACATGGCATACCACTATATCATTGTAATATGCAAGTTTTGCCAGCTCTCCAGCTTCTAAAACATCTTTGTAAAATTTTTCATTGTACGAGACTGGGAATACCACTTGGTTAAGAAGCTTCAGCTGTTTTATATTGTGCGGTGTTACATCCCCTAACTCTATTTTTGATCTGTAAGTTTCACATATACACCTATTGTTTCATGTATTATTTAAATATACAAAGACATTGTATGTATATGTGGATATATCTGTGAGCACATATTGACATTAATATTTTTAAATGCATTTTTATCTATAAAAAAATAGAGGATTCCAAAAATTTTTACAAAGGTTCTATCCTGCTGTTTACAACAATCTTTTTCAAAAATTGTCAATACAGTTTTTCCAAAAACTGTGCCTGAAAACTAACTTTCTATACAATTATTTATTCATTGCTTCTTTCATACTTGAAATTTGATTTTCTAATTACATGTTTTTAAATAAACGTGCTCTTGAAAGCAGAAACATTTAAAATTTCAATTTAATGATAGTGATTGCATATCATAGATGGAACAAAAATAATCGTGTTGATCTGATAATACGTTGGAATAAAGCAAACGTAATTGCTCTAAGAATGTTTTGATTCATAATGTAACAAATATAACCTTAAAATATAAGAGACTTACCTAGTCATATTAGGAAGTACAATAAATTTTAACGTTTCTCACACAAATAGCAACAAATTTTGATATTAATCGTTTTTTAAGTCAGTTACAAACAAATCATCCGTATATACAACAAAATAACGTTACACGACTTCGTCCTTTTTTCTACTGAAATTTTATTAGCAGAGTAGGTTAAATATATGTCTGCTTCCTCACATTTTGATAGGTTTTAGAATACATAAAAACTTGTTAATTACAAAAATTAAATTTAATTATTGAAAAAAAAAAAGAAGAAGGTATGAATGATAATTTATTACATTTTTGTAAATTCTATAGTGGATAAATTATATAATTCTAAAATTTTAATTCAATGCAATGTGTTTTACTGTATTTTAAATTTATTTAGAAACTATGCAATTTAGTTGTATCATTATTACATGTTTTATTATAATGTCAAAGTATAGTATAAAATTTGATTGTAAAATACGAATAGAGAATAATATATAAATATATAAAATATTATAACATAATGTCAAATGACTATAC